TTCACGGCGCCCGCGCTGTCGGCCATGGCACCCGCGCCCGCGCTGTCGTTCGCGGCTGTTGGCGACGTCCGCGCCCGCGCCGGTCTCCGCGCCGTCGGCCGCGCCCGGCCTCGGCAGCGGCGGCGATGCGCGCGGCGAGAGTTAGCTTCGGGGGAACGACGTAAGTTATCGGGCTCGGGGAGTCGAGCCGGGGCATTTACGGCACGGAGCCATCGCGATGCTCGTCCGAGTCTTATGTGTGCGCGCGCCTGCTCAGTCCTGCGCGGCCTTGAACGCCTTGATCGCCTTGATGATTTATTATTATTATGGGTGCTTTAACGTGGGACTAGGTCGGCGGCCCGTGGGCGGCCGACGGCGCACGCGGATCAGGTCGGATATCGTGAAGATGACGCGGCCGAGAGCCGAGGTGTTCAGGTAACCGGAGTCGCCCGCCCAGGACGGAACCAGTTGAGGTCTGTCGGTCAGCCCCTCACAACGGACTGGACAGTGGGGAGGTCACGGTAGCATAGCACTGGCCGACCCCGTGACGAAACGGGTCGGACTCCGACCTGCGAAAGAACGCAGGGCAGGACGACGGAGGAACATGAAGCGCGGAGCCGAGTATCGACCACACCCGGCGACGGACAGGGACTGAATATCCGCCGCAGGGTGCCGCGGACGAACCGCCACGGCAGCACGGTTCAAGAATCGTTCGTCGCGAATAAAAGTCACGGTAGCGTAGGGGACGCCGGCCCCGTGACAACAAGCCGGGCTCTCGGGCACTCGAAACGGCAGCGGCCGAGGACGACGGGGGAACCCGGGAGGACAGGAGGCATCAAAGAACCAAGCAAGTCAGACCCAAGGAAAAACCGTCGCGTTTCTGGAGGAGGAATTTGGCGGAAGAACACGAATCGTGGCACGTAGAGAAGCAGAACGAGGCTGCGTGTCGCTCCACCCACATTTACGGCTCCGAGACGGCTGGTTCGGCAGGCATCGCTTCGTGGGAAAACCGAACGCGGCGGAGCTTGCTCGGAGAGACTCGTTCCGGAGTCGACGGCGGCGTGTGCCCAGGCTTGCGGCGCGGCGGAGGCTGGCCCTGTGAGATCGGCTGAAGCGGCGGTCCCCACGCGAGCGGCCGTCGGCCGTCCGGCACGAACCCGGCAGCGAGCATGCACTTCAGGGCGCCTCCCGACGGCGCCCCTGGATGATGCATCGCGTAGTGGTGCGTGAGGTACCGCAGGGCCACCGGCGCGGAGCACTCCGGGCAGGACATCGCGTACTTCGGCCGTGACGGCGGCACTGCCGAACCCGTCGACGGCGGCAGCCTCGGAGGCCGAACCAGGGCACGACGAAAAATGGAGGCCAGCAGCGTTGCGGCGCGTCTGCGTCGAGAACCATGAGATCTAACGTGAGAGGTGATCAGGCGGGCGGAGCGGGTTCGTCTAAAGGAGCGGGAGAGGTAGCGGCAGAGCCGTGCCGACGGCCTCGTCGGTACGGGAGCTCGGCCGTCGGGCTGCGCCCCGGCGTCCTCGCCAGGCGCATCCCGCACCCCCACCGGCGCCCGCGGACCTCCGCGTGCGCCGGGGGCTGCCCGGGCTCGGGGCGACCGGCCCCTGGAGCCTCTGCGACTCGCATTCCGTGCGAAATCGTTTCCAGAAAATCGCTGCGCACCGCGCTGCTGAAGGTCGCCATGGACTTCACGCACCAGCGTGACGCCCACAACAGACCCGTTCTGGAAATGGACGGACGCCCACTCCGCGGGCGGAACCACCGCCGCGAGGCAGGCCAGCGTCCTGGCAGCGCCCTCCATCGTTACCGGACCATGGAGGAGGGGGATTAGTAGTAGAGTCTACTCCGGCGCTCCGATTCCTCTCATCATAGACTCATGGCGTCTAAGTTCGCCACCCCAAGCCTACGCCCGACCCCAGGCGACAGCCACATGTACATCGAATCAGGGGATCCTCAG